TCTATCCATTTATATATATATATATATATATATATATATATAATTTTTGCTTATAATCAACAAATATTTATTTATATATTCAACAGGTATATTTACACATTTCAAGACAATTTTATTATTAAACAGGAATTATAATTTTTAATATATAAATCAATTATCCTAAATCTTGGACTCCCATGTATATAAATTTCACTTTTTTTTTCATTATTTTAATGAACATGATTAGGCAGTGTGAGACCCGGTTTCCTTTTTCCTTTTCCCTGAACCCTCAACTCTCACTCTCTTTTACTCATACTCTCGATTCTTCTCTTCTCACTTTTGCTTATCTTCTTTCTCTCTTGGCTTTGGGGTGATCTTGGTGGTTGTAGGTGGGGGTGGTGAGTAGCTGATTTCCTTCCCGGAGTGCCGATTCCTCGAGCTTGTCTTCTTCCCCACTCAAACATTTTTCTTCCTTCTTCTCCTCTCTTCTTCCCGGAAGCTGGGATCTTCGATTAGGGGTAAGGGAAGTTAGTTTGGTATTGATTTCTAGTTGAGAATGAATCGTTGTAAGCTCATTAGCTGTTGAGATTGGTTGGTGTTTGATGATTTTTGTTGGATTTCTGAAATCGGAAGTTTTGGGGTTTTTTGTGGGTTTTGACAAATTTTGGGTCTTTTGATGATTTTATGGTTGCATGTGAGAAAGGTTGATGTTTTCGAGCTGCTGGTGGAAAATGGAGTAACTTGAATGGTTTGCATGTTGGATTTCTGTTGAGTTGTGTAGGTTTTGGTTAAAATTTTCGAAAATGGAGTGTTGCTGCTGAGCTTCGCGCTGAGCGCTGTTCATCGCGCTGGGCGCGTGGCCAACAGGGGACCCCATTTGACCAAGCTCGCCGGGCGCAATGATGAGTGCGCTGGGCGCGCTTGAGAATGTGGGTCTCTGGTTGGCCCGCGCTGAGCATGACTTGGACCGCGCTGGGCGCGATACTCGTTATAACTTGCTTTTGGATTCTTGAGGCTGCGCTGAGCGCGACCCTTGTCGCGCTGGGCATGAGACTCCTTGGGAGTCTCTGCCTTGTGGGCGCTGGGCGCAATTTAAATTGCGCCTGGGCGCGAGACCAAGGGGAGGTCTCTGCCTTCCCCGCGCTGGGCGCTGGGTTAGGTACGCCGGGCGCGTGAGACTCCTTGGAGTCTCTGCCTGGCCAGCGCTGGGCGCAATTGTTATTGCGCTAGGCGCGAGGGAGCCTTGGGCTCTCTGGCTGAGTCCCGCCGGGCGCAGGCACACCTGCGCTGGGCGCGCTGGCCCCCTGGTGCTCTCTGGTTGTACTGCGCTGGGCGCAACTACGAGGCGCCGGGCGCGGAGATGAGAATTTACTATGTACTGATTTATGCTGCTTTATGTTGAGTTGAGTTAAAATGGATGAATGTGGTGTGTTGATTTGTAGATAACGTTGTTTGATTGATGTTGAGTTGAAATCAGGTGTATATTGTTGCAAGTTGATGTTGAGTTGTACAGTTGAGTTGTGTTGTAAGTTGATATGATGAGTTGTAAGAAGTTGTGTTGTGCTGTATGTTGATGTGAGTTGTGGTAGGCCATATGGGCTGAGTTGTTGTAGGCCTTAAGGGCTGAGTTGTTGTAAGCCTAACCGGCTTTTGAGGGATGGTTCCCCTCCTTAGCCTTATGCTCTTTACAGTGTATATATCATGAGCTTAAAGTTTTCAAGATTCAATTTTGAGTGTTTAATATGATGGACTAATCATGTATTAAACCCTCAAAATGCTCCCAATTTAATGGTTTCCTACTCCATTCACTCTCACCCTTCTTGATTATCTTTGTTTCCCACAATACAACATTACAACTGTTCCATTCTTCGTTATTTCATTTCCCAAAGTTTGTTAAATTCTTATATTGCTTTCTCTTGGTATGATTGTTGGAATTTATGAGAGCTTATCTCTAACTTAATTCCTTAAGATTCTTAAGAATTGAATTTATGAGGCTCAACTCTTAAAAAAATTCTTATATACTTTCTCTTTATAATCAAATTAGAACTCTGTCCAAATAAATCATCTAAAACATTTAAAGACTCCTCGA